TAGTCTTCCACCATCCTCCTTAATTGTCGTGTATTTAGATAAATAGGCACGGAATAATAGAACGGGGGGCGGCTATCGGAAGAGCGTCCTGTAGCAACTTCCAACCAAAAGATTTCCAACGGGGCAGATAAGGTAACTTCCAAAATTTCCACCACCAAGAAGGAGACAGTTGACATCCTAAACCCCGAGAAATGCTAGACTGACATTGAAGAGCATAAGCCGATTTTGTAGAAAAGACACCATCCCTAGTGAACTTCCAATAGACAAAATCGTCCATTAGCCACTTCGGACGATCCAACGAAAGAATCCTCATCGCATAATGAGAATAAAAAAGGTTGTGAACAACCGAAACATCTCACGCGTAAGAACGTGGATCAAGTAGAGAAGAAACAAGAGACAGCCTAGCCGGCTCCGACGACCGATCCTTAAATTGGACCGGCCCACCTGGAACCCATAATCCGAACTTTGGTACCCGAACCGACCTTCCAAACTAAACCTCTAGATAACACCGAAAAACCTGCGAGCAGACCCCTACAACCCCAAGACGGACGAGACACCAAAGAAGCCTCCCTATTCCTCAAAGAAGGATATTTCGCGAACAGAAGACGAGAAACCAGCAATTGAGGGGACTGGATAAGACGCCAGCTTTGCTTAGCTAGCAAAGCAGAGTTGAAAGGAGCAACACTCTGAATTCCCAAACCTCCCAATCCCTTTGGGAGATGCAGCAAAGCGTGAGACTTGATAACCATTCCTCGACTCGAATGAGAAGATTTCCACCAAACCTAGCTAACAAGTTATCTATCTTGGAGCAAATGGTCTCAGGAATTTTAAAAACCGATAAGATGTGATTAAAGAAGCAACTAACACAGAATTAATAACAACCAATTTTGCTGCAAAAGAGAGATGCAAAGACGCAAAACCCTCAAGTCGTTTAACCACCTAATCTAAAAGAAAATTAAACTCCGAGCATTTACTTCGCCCTAGATCAACCGGGAGTCCCAAATAAGAACCAAGCCGGGACACAGAGCGCAACCTCAAACAGTTAGATAGATGGTCACGATAATCCTCTGGTGTATTAGGACTAAATTTAACAAACGATTTCTGCATATTAATCATTTGACCTGAAATATCGCAGAAATCATAAAGCACATGCATCACCTGATCACATGCAGAGGGCGACACCTGGAAAAACAGTAAGGAATCATCGGCAAAAAATAAGTGAGAGATGGCCGGAGCTCCTCTTGCAACTTTAATTCCTTGAAAAAAAAACCTGCAGATTCTGCCTTGCGCAACATAGCAGAAAGAACTTCCATGCAGAGGACAAACAAATAAGACGAAAGAGGATCCTCCTGACGTAATCCACAATGAGGCTTGAAACTCTCAGTCGGAGCACCATTAACTAAGACTTGGTAAGAGACAGTCAAGACACACTGCATAATCAGCTGAATCCAATACGGAGGGAAACCAAACACCTGAAGAACACGAGCTAAAAAATCCCAGGCCACCCTGTCATAGGCCTTGTTCATATCCAGTTTCAAAGCAGCATAAAAGCGTTTCCTGGCTTTAGAAGCATTCATGAACGATTTCAACTCATGAACCATCAAACAATTATCAGACATAAGTCGACCAGGAACGAAAGCATTTTGGAACTCGGAAATTAAGCCTGGAAGCACCCCTCACAACCGATGAGACAAACACTTTGCAATGCATTTGTAAACAACATTACATAAACCAATAGGGCGAAATTGAGAAATAAGTTCAGGATGATCAATTTTCGGGAGTAAAACCAAAAAGTTACGGTTCCAGTCCTTAAGCAAATACCCATGAGCAAAAAAGAATTGAACAGCCTTTATGACCTGATCACCCACCCTATCCCAATGAGTTTTAAAGAAAGCTGGAGGAAACCCATCTGGTCCTGGAGATTTCTCGTCGCCAATACTAAACATAGCATGTTTTATGTCTTCATCAGAAAAAAGGACTAGCAACATCTGACGCTGAGACTCAGACAACGAAGGCAAGTGAAGAGATTCCCAAGGAAACTGAGAAACCGAGGATCGAATCTCAGAAGGAGACTCAGAGTTAACTTTATAAAGAGATTTGAAAAAATCCAAAGCTAATGTACGAATACTCCCAACATCCGTTACCTAAGCTCCCAACATGCTATATTTTTTTAGAACTTAGCATTCCAAAATTAAACATTATTATACATCTATAAAATATGAAATATAAAAAATTTATGAAATATGGAAAAATTATGTCAAATTCTAATCCTAACCTATATTTTAAAACCAACTACATAGGTTGCTTTGCTCCTGTAAATTAAAAATAATAATAAAAAAAATAGGGAAATTCACTTTGGTAGATCTCTAATAATAAACATTCTCAATGGTCAAATGCAAAAAAAGTTATTATCCTTGGTGAACCATGTTTTAAAAAGTTTTATCAATGGTAACATTAAGCGAGGTAATTAGGCATTTTAAGCGTAACTATGGTTAACTAATGATATAATGACTAATTTGACCCTATGGTTAACCCCTTCTTAGATTTTTTTTTAAAGGAAAAAAAAACCCAAACCCATCACCTAGCCACTAGCACCACTACCGGCGGCTAACCCCCAGCCGGCTTTCCTTCCCACCTCTGGTCGGCGACGCCTGACCTCTCCCACCTCCGGCCGGCGACGCCCCACTTCGGCCCCGTTCCTCCTCTCTTTCCCATTTCCCCCATCAATCACCACCTGCCCCGCCTCCTCTCTTTCCCAGTTCCCCCACCACCGTTCGTGGGCCCTTATCGCACCCAAAACCACCACGAAAACCAACACCCCTCCCCGACGAACCCCCTCCCCGAAAAAACCACCACAAACCCTTGAAATCTATCCAAAACCACCAGAAAACCGAAACCCATTTCCTGGGTTTGGTTTCGAAACCCTAAACGGGTTTGGGTATTTTCTGGTGTTTTGGGGTTTTTAAGGGTTTTTGGCCGGCGAACAAGGGAGGGGGGTCGTCGGGGAAGGGCGCCGGTTTTGTGGTGGTTAGAGTGATCGGCGGTGGGCATTGGGTGGGGAAAACAGGAAGGGTCGAAAAGGGGGGAGAGAGAGAGGGGGTGAGGGCGGGGGAGGCGGGGCGTCACAGGGGAGGCCGGTGCACCAGCGAAGGTAGAGCTGGGCGCCAGTGCCGGCGGGGGTGTAGGAGGGGGAGGGGGAGAGGGAATGGTGGCGAATGGTGGGGAAGGTGGTGGCAGGATGGTGGTTTTTATTTTTTTTAATTAATTTTAAAATGGGGGTATTTTAGGCATCACAACTTTTTTTTTACTTAGAATGGTTTACCATGGTTAAGAAATGTCTAATTACCTTGCTTAATGTTACCATTGATTAAACTTTTTAAAACATGGTTCACCAAGAATAATAACTTTTTTTGCATTTGACCAATGAGAATGTTTATAATTAGAGGTCTACCAAAGAGAATTTCCCAAAAAATTATAGCCTATATAGGTTGCATTGCATGCCTAATATTCCAAAAAATTTCCTCTTATACGTAGATAAGTTAAATGAAACTTTTCATTGACACACATATATATACAGGGGCGGAATTAGGGGGTGGTTGGGGTAGGCCATGGCCAACCCCTTGATAATGTTTAAAATTTAATTTTGTAAATGTTTTCAAACAAATATTCAGCTAAGTTGACTTAATATGGGATTTTTAAGGTATTTTTAATGTAGAATTTCTTATTCCGCCACTGTATATATACTAATAGAGTGGATTATAACACGAGTTTGATTGTAAAATTTAATCATACGAAGTATATACATATTAAGGCATCGGTATTGCATGGATCTAACATATTTTGTATGCCTTTTCTAATTCTAACATCGTATACGGAATAGATTATACCGGATATACTACTAATTTAATATGCATGGGTTGTGTATGACTACATAAAAATGTAAAATCTTGAATATTAAACATTAAAGTCTTATTAAACACTTTTTATTATAGATGGAATAGATTAAACTAAATTTAATTCACTTTCTATTTTTTTTTTCTTCTTAAGTTCTTATTTTAGAATAGTTTTATCAAATGAAAGTAACATATATAATTCATAATAATCTAATGCTACGTATACCAAATTGAATCAAAATCTTCCCTAAGGCTATGTTTGGATAACAAAAAATAGGAGTAAAGGAAGGGAAGGGGAAGAGAGGGAGACAAAGTACCTTGTCTGGATAATATGTTGGGGGAGGGAAGGGGAGGGGGAAGGAGGGGTCCATTTTCCCTCCTCCTTTAATAAAGAGCACCCTTCAAAATTGGAGAGATTTGGAAGGAAAATGGTGCTCATCATTTCCTCCACTTCCCCTTCCTCCTATTTCCCTCCCTTTCATTTCCCTTCTAATTTGTTATGCAAACATAGCATAATATAGTGTGTTTGGATAGATTATTGGAGGGGACGGAAAACATATGAGTTTTCCTTTAAATTTCTCCATGGTTAGTTAGAGAGATCAATATCTTACAAATTAATCTCTCCCTTTCTCTCCTTTTCAACTTCCTTCAATTCCTCTCTCATCATTTGTTATCCAAATAAAAGATATTACGTAGTGTATTCTTCCACTTCCCTTCCCTTCCTTTCCCTCCATTTCTTCTAATTCAAACAAAGTGTAATAAAAAAATTATGATCATCGCAGATAAGATTTAACGTTTTAAATGTATAATTCTTCATGTTATTATTTCATATAAGCATCTTTAAAATAAGAAAATCACTAATCCCTTGACACATTATCTTGGTTTAAAATTCAAATTCCTTTCTTTTTTATTTTGAACTTTCTCATATTTTGACAATGACATATGTTAGGATATTATTTTCTCATTCTAGCAATTCCCTTGACAAAAAGCAATATCTATCGCACGTAATATCACCCAAACTCCCATCACATCACTACCATTGAACAATGTAGATGTTGAATAAAAAACCATAGATACTCCCTTAAACTCTCACAAACTTGATAAAAAGAGAGAAATTTTATTCTGAGCATTATCCTCCTAATAAGCAATTAATAACAGTGAAAAGATACTTACGATTTACAATCAATAGCCTGGAAGACCAACGATACACTGATAGTCTCTAGAGTTACAAAGAAATAGGGAGGACTTGATTTTTGAGAGATAGAATAATGAAAGAAAATTGACCAAATTGCTAACTTATTAAGTACATAATTATGGATAAATGCATCATATACGTATATAATCTTGTTGACTACAGGAAAATCGAATGAAGATCATTCACCAAATCTTCTTGACTCTTACTGAAATCCGATTCCATCTACAAGTATCAAAATATGATTGCATAAGATTATAACTTTATATATATGAACTAGTTTTATAACAAAGATTTTAAAGTCATTGTACATAATACTATATTGTAAATCTTTGTTTTAACATATTTGCAAAAATTAATATCAAATCGTTGCAAATAATTTGAAATTGAAAAGGATAACTTTAAAAGATAGAGAGAGATGAAAATACATACCTCAGCGACAATTGTTAAATGGGATACATTACCATTGATAGGCACAACATTCATGTTTGTAATAAAGAGATGACAATCTTCAATCTTCCTGGTTAATTTACTGAAAACTCCCTTTTGAATGACACAAGTAATTCTGATTAGGACATTATTATCACCAAATTGAGCATTGATCTCTGGTGGATTGATTTCTGGGAATGGCTTGTTGTACTCACATTTGAAAAATAGGAAAAAAAATATATATATATAAAATATGGTCCTTTATTTATTGACATATTGTTGAAACTTGCTCTAGCACCTTAATAAAGGTTTTTTTTTTTTTTTGTCAAAAGTAAAAATAAAAATGAAGGTTTCATTTACAAACAAAAAAAATGTTACTTCAAAATATTCACTTTCATCAATTCAAATTTCCCAACAGGACATGTAACAACGACAAGAAATATCAATTAGTTGGATGGAGAATCTTAGGCTACGCTTAATTGAACTTATTTCAAATAGTATCATCAAATAAGGCAAGGAAAAGTCATATTAGATCAAATCAACATCTCCTACTCAATAATTAGGGCATGTTCCATTCCTCTTATTTTCACTTATGTCAGGTCTAATAAGTGCATATAAGTTCATATAAATCTAGTTAGATTAAGATAAGAAATTCAGTTCAGGATTAAAAAGTTCTGATAAGGGTTACCCAAGTTCAATTTACAACTAAAACAAGTTTAAATAAGTTCAAATAAGTTAAGATAAATTCAAATAAGTAAAAATCAGGTATAGCTAGTAAATAAAAGTATAGAACACTTGCTTCCTTACTAAACTAGTGACTACATTTAGGGTCGGGGAGGATGTCCTAGTTTCTCATGGTTTTTGTTTCTCACATGACATTTTCGTAAATAAATCAACAACTTTATTCAATTGTGGAGCCCACAATAATGAAAAAGTTGTTGATTTATTCACGAAAATGCCATTATAAGAAACAAATTTGTTTCTCACCATCAGAAACACGGAATTTCCCCATTTAGGGGTTGTTCAGATTTACTGAATTGAACTGAAATGATTAGGGCTAAAGTGAACTGATGAATTGAATAAATCGAGATAAAATGAATTGTTTATGAGAGAAGAAAATTAGAAACTGAACTAAATTGAATTGAAATTATGCTGAACAGAACATGCCCATAATTTTATTGGTGTAATAATAGTTAAATTATATATGGACAATATTTGAAATTCTTTCCATCGCATCTAAACTAATGGACAATATATATATACATGGAAATTTTCGAGTCGGCATCAATAGTTCAATAATATCCCGATAATTGGTCATGAACACAAAGTTCAAAAATTAAATATTATGTGTGAAACCAAATATTTTGGGTCAAGATGGTCAAGCGTAAGTCGAAACCTATCCAAAACTACCCAACCCAATTAAAATTAATCAAAAAACAGTTCTAATATTCAATCTTAAAATTTTGATATTAGAATTCAAATTTCAACACTTACTTTCAAATGGTGGTAAATATATTAGGAACTCCGTCTAAGAAAATCAAATGCAATAATAAATATTTATAGTATAATATCATATCCATTTTTTTAAAAAATAAATAAAAAAATTAAAACACCAAAAAAAAAATCCTAATTGGATAAGAAAATATCACATCAAACTAAAATAGTTTAGATTATATAAACAAATTTCATATAAAATCAGATCAAGTAAACTGAACAAACATAATGGCCATAGATAGTCATATATATAAAAGACATGCAATCTATCATATATAACTTCAAGAGAGAAAATTAAAAGAAAATTTACACCAAACTTAATAGTTCTTCCGAAAAAAAATAAAGAAAAAATTAAATTACTGAAACCCCCAATATTTTTTATGTAGTTAGTCATGAAAATGGGCAAATATATTACTACTCCTATATATGCCGTTCATACATGTAAGTGATGTAATTATGACATGATTTTTCCTCAAAAAAAATAAATTATGACATGATTAAGATGAATGATACGAAGTATAAGTTACAACCACTAAAGCAAACTAATCAAATACTCTATATGAAAAGATAGGATGATTATGAGCATAATTAGCCATAGCTTAGATGGATGAATGAAGTAGAAACATAATAAAAGATGAAAATAAAATCTAAAGAGATTACCTGATGAATTCTCTAGAGTCTTTCAAGGCGCAACACAAACCCCACAAACCCTCTTGGCCTCTCGTTGGATAATGTAGCAAGCCTTGTAATATCAACTTATGAAGTAATAGAAATAGATACTGTCATCTGGGGTCCTATATTTTTTTCAATTTCAAAGCTAGCCAGTGCACCACTCTTACCATAATAAGGCTATACAGCTTATACTGCTTTTCCTTTATAATTAATAATAATAGTAACAATAAGGGTGTTAGTGGACCAACTCAACCAAAAATTTAAGCTGATGGTTGAGACCTAAGAATATGTTTTATACTCTATCACACCCCCTCACACGAGAGCCCGTTTGGGCTAGAAGTGTGGATACGGCATGGCCCTCCTCATATCCAACGCTTAATATTCCACTTGAAAGTGAAGGGTGGATGAGATTCGAACCCGTGACCTTTATGTCACATTGGCTCCGATACCATATATGTTAGAGGACCAACTCAACCAAAAGCTTAAGCTTATGGTTGAGGCCTAAGAATATGTTTTATACTCTATCAAAGGGCAATTATATATGTTAATATGTAGTCTTTAAGGCTATAAATAAACATTTAATAATTATAAATATACATTTAAAAGAGAATGTATTCTAATCTTTTCTTTTTGTTTTCCCCATTGAAGTCTTATCTATCTATATCTATACTTATATATTAAAAATCGTTCCTAAAACAGAATATGTTCCACGTGTCACCTTTTTCAAGTTCAACATGTCAGCAATATGTGCCACATGTCATTATAAAACATGACATGTCACTTTCACAATTATTAAGTTCGCATCTAAAAAATGCTTATAATAAGGGCTTGTTCTCTTACGTTGAAATTCAGTTCAGTTCAGTTCAGCTCAGTTTAGCTCAATTCAGTCCAGTTCAGTTCAGCTTCTAATTTCCTTCTCTTATAAAATATTCATTTTAGTTCGGTTCAGTTCAGTTTAGCTTAGCTCAGTTCAGTTCAGCTTCTAATTTCCTTCTCTTATAAAATATTCATTTTAGTTCTGTTCAGTTCAGTTCAGTTTAGCTCAGCTCAGTTCAATTCAGTTCCGTTCAGCTCAATTCAGTTCAATTCAGTTCAATTCAGCTGAGTTCAGTCAATGAGAACATGCCCTAAGACTTGAATTCAAGACCAATAAGTCTTAACTTAAGAGTCTTACCCTATTAACCATTTATTAACCGTGTTTTTTCATCCATCACTATTATAGTTAACTTTGATAAGTTAATTTGTGTCCTATATTATACTATTTATTTCCAATATGTAATGATTGAGTTTGACAACTAAAAAATGTTTCTAGATAACAAGATTTCAATTTGAAACCAACAAGTCTTATTATCTAAACTGTCGGATTTGATTAGCAAATTAAACAAGTACAAACTGGAAACCCGAGGCATCGCCCGGGCCACACACTATTTATTATTAAAACTCAAAGGCAAGGAATGTTATATCTCCACTTGTCACTTTCTTTTTCTTATTTAGCCACATCATCAATTTGCCACATAAGAGATCACATTGCATGTACATGATAAATATGTACAATAAGCCTGTTCACTTCAGCTTAATTTTAGTTCAGTTCAGTTCAGTTCAGCTCCAATCAGTTCAATTCAGTTCAATTTAGTTCAGCTCCTAATTTTCTTCCTTCATAAAATATTCATTTCAGCTTAGTTCAGTTCAGTTTAGTTCAGCTCCAATCAGTTTTGTTCAGTTTAGCTCCAATCAGTTCATTTCAGTTTATTAGTTTAATAAATGTGAACATGCCCTAAATTATATGATTAATTCATTTTATTATAGTATTGATTGTATAATAATTCAATTGAATCAATTGTTACAAAAAATAATTACATTAATTTTCATCATCAAAATTAAGTTTTGTAACCGATTGTATTTATTTTGGGCTCAATTAGAACAATGAATAATTACAATAATTACAATATTTTTAAATTGCTTTGGCCAATTTAATTGTAACCGATATGTATTTATAAACGTCTATAATTTATACGAGCAATTAAAAAAAAAGGAAAATTTGTAAATAACTATCCCAACTTTGCTCCATTTTCTTTAATAATCCTAACTTTGGGGGTTGTTTACTTTCTTCAATCCCTTTTGCCGGTTACAGGTTAAAGAGGTTATTTTCTTTTTTCTTTTTCTTCATAAATGCCACGTGTTGATCTAATTAGCCTAAAATATTAAAAAAACACAAAAATGAAAATAAAATAGTTAGAAAACCCGGCCCCACCACTTTCCTAACCACCTAGTAGCCCTACCAACCAAACCCCACTTCCATAAAATCCGGCCACCCTAACTTCTAGCGCTCGACGTCGGCCACCCAACCCCTGTCGTTCGACGCCGGACGACCGTCACTACCCTTCTCTCCCTCAAGCCGGTAAACCACAGGCTAAGAACCTTGACGACAGCCGGCAGCCCCCTACCCCTCTATTCCCCCTCCCATGTGCTAATTTCCCCTGTCCCTCCGCGTTGGCTTCCCCTCTTCCACCGCGCCGATGATTCGATCCACCCATTCACCGCCTCCCTTCCCTTGTATCCCGACTCTCCCCCACCATCAATTCTCCCTTGAAACACTCAAAAAGTCTTAAAACCACCTTCCCCAATTTCGAAAACCATCCAAACACCCATCCCATACTATCGAAAACACTATACCTGCTAGGGTTTCGTGGTGAAGGAGGGGCAATTTGGAGTTTTTAGGAGTGGGGGAGGGGTTTGTTTGGTGATGCATGGGGGAATGGCTAAATGGAAGGGGGTTTCGGGGAAAGGGGAAATCAGCGACGCCAGTGAGGAATGCAGCGGCGGCCAGCGGACTGGGTAATGGTGGGGTTTAGGTGGGCCGGTGGGAGGAAGGGATGAGTGTTGGTAATATTTTGTGGTTTTTTTTTGTTTTTATAATTTTTTTGGACCGATTAGGGCTTGACACGTGTCAAGTGACTTGATATAATAGGTTATTGGCTTTTGTTGAACAATTTAGGATTGAAGAAAGTAAATATCTATCAAAGTTAGGATTATTCTAGAATAATCCAAGTCTTATTATTAAAAGAAATTGAGCAAATTAAAGTTGGGATTATTGTTTACAATTTTTCCTAAAAATAATTAGTTTTAAAACTAAATCATACATGCAATATAATTCGTATTACATATATCTTTCATATTCCCTATGAGTTAATTTTGTAATGAATGTGATCAATTCTCAACCCTTTCTTTCCCTTTCAAACTCTATATTTGTTGAATAAAACACTAGACGAAAATATGAATTAGCCACCGGTTTAAAACCCCCCTATGCCACCGGTTTTGAACCGGTGGCCATTTGTGGGGTGGCAATAATCTTATTAAAAAGCCACCGGTTCAAAACAAATATTGCCACCGGTTAACCGGTGGCAATAATGCTTCCCGCAATTTTTTTTTAATGGTATTAATAAGTATAGTCACCTGTTAACCGGCGGCAATAATGCCCACAAAAAACAAAAAAAAAAATTGCATTTATTTCACTTAAATTGTAGTAGAAATGATATATATATATGTAAAATACATAAAAACACATATATATTCATCAGTATCTAGTAATTGTACACTTTTTAAGAGTGAAAAAACTAAATTAATAACTACAAATAAATTACTCATACAACAATTCCAATTTAAAAGAACTAAATTAATCAAATTACGCAAAACTAAAATTCCAACATTAAAATAAAAAAAAATTACAATAAAAAACAAAAAAAAATTACAACATTAAAATTAAAAAAAAACCCATATAACACTTGATAGGCTTATCGCGTACCTAACAAAAATAACCTAACTATTCCTTCTAACTGTGTAGTAGGGCAAGTAAGGATCGAATCCCAAGAGACTATGGTTCATTCAATTAATCAGACTCAATTAATCACTAAGCACGTCACCAATCAATAATGGATGATAATAATCAACTAATATATTAAATAACACAATTAACTAGAGGAAATATTAATCAATAAACTAAAGCATCCAAGATCAAGCATTACCACGATTATGATTGATAAACTAATAAATCTACCCCCAATATATAAATCAATTGACAAGAAGAAAAGCAATCCCTAATAATAATACCAAAGGTCTCTTCCAAGTTATCAATGGCTTCCCAAATTAACTATCAAGCCTACTTCCGTGGAATCAAGCGAATAAGGGACATTAAACACCATGCCTAGATTCCTAATTATTCAATCATCTACTTCCGTGATGATCTTCAAACCCTTAATTGGAATAACCTAATCCCGTTAATACCCAACTTCCGTTGCAATAAGAACAAAGGGATGATAACAATACTAATTATTCCTAATCTAGTATTGGCATAAACACAATCAATTAAGCATGTCAATTGGGATTATTATTGGGGAATTTAAAGATCTACTTTATACATCAATCATAATCGGGCTTAGCAAGATCCCGGATTAAGGAAACTACTCACACATCATAATAAAATCAAAATCAAGTTCAAAAACAAGAAACAGTAAAGAAAACATATTTAGAGAACAGTGAATATCAGAAAAGAGTGAAGTAAGATAAATACCAATTACTCCAATTGAAAGAACTCAAATTGTTGATGAACAATTGATTAATCTGGGATTAAAAGATTGAAATTGCTTAAAGGAAATAAAACTAGGGTTCTTGAGAGTTTTCTAGGGCTTAAGGAGAAAAACTAATGAAAAACTCTCTTTAAAAGTTAATTACAAAAGGGTATTTATACCCTCAAAAGATAGAAATTCGGAAATAGCTGAAATCGCGCAATCTTGAACATCGCCCGGTCAGACCGGGCAAACCTCGCCCGATCGGGCGGAGGAAGGCTGCGTAAAATACGACAGTTTTCCTTCTTTGCCCGGTCAGACCGGGCGAACCTCGCCCGGTCGGGCGCGCGTAACACGTTTCCAGAATTGCATCTTCATAACTTGACTTCTTCATCGCCCGGTCTGACCGGGCGAAG